TTAAAATGTCTCTTTAAAGAAATATTGAATTCATATACATATATGTGTGAATATACATGAATTCAGTACACACACACACACACACACACACACACACAGAGGCAGAAGTAAGAAAGAAAACTGCACCTCCACACTCATAGCAACAATCATGTGACCTGGCGCCCCAGGTTTCCAAGCAGCCGATCTGCAGGTACACAGGTACAGTGTTCCCAGGCACAGAGGACACAAACGGGCTCCCAGTTCATTAACAGTAGGCCCCAGGAGACAGGTGAATATAGTGAGAGGGTGAGCGTGTGGGCGTGTGTGTCTGAAACATTTCAGAGAGCTGGCCAGTGTTTAAAGTGCGTGACACGTGATTAAGCAGTGCTTACATTGCTGTGCGCTCTGTTCAAACAGAAAAAAGAGATCTTTACACACTGGCTGGGAAACGAGGAAATATAGCATACACTTTCAACTTAATATCTTTTCAAGTAGTTAGATTATAAAATATTTTAGTTTTCTTTTCCCCTAACATACATGCTATGACTCATCTAAACTTCTACTAAAAATAGCTTGAGGCAGTCAAGTAATGAGCTTCGGTGGGATAATCTGAAAACATTTCTCCTATTCTTCATAGAGAATCCCTAAAACTACTTTTCAACCTCTAGATATTCAAATATTAAGGAGTAGATGCTTACAGTATAGTATAAAAAAACTGTGATGTGTTCTTTTTATATTGAAACCACAGAGCTGCTTAACAATCCAACAGAAAAATTTCTCGGATACCAAATAAAAATATTCTAGAAATTATATAATAGATACTTTCAATTTAGAAGTAAAAGATGATCTGATATAGAGATAAATTTGCTTCCCACATCCTGTTCCAGAATATTGAAAGAGTATATAAACCCTTCTAGAGAAATTCCTTTAGGTGTAAGGATTTGCATTTTGCTCTATAAAATTATTGATCTTAATATATATTTTGTTATAGTTATAAAGAAACACAGTATTTTCTACAAGAGATTTTGCTAACTACATGTTAGCATCTAATAAGGAACAGTTTTGGCCAAGTGACATACTTCTAATGAGAGCTGCAAGCAAACGTATACTCTAACTCAACTCAAATGCACGTTTCCCAATGTTTGTGGAATTTTGTTTAAACATAGGACTTTCGGGATAACTGAAGTAAGCAAAATTGGCAAGTAGCAACAAAAACAAGAGGGTACGGCAATATCATTCATTCTCACACACACTGATGAGTATCATGAAAGATGGTTTGGCAAAAGTGTCTCTGGGTTGTTCTTGTTCCCTTTCACCATCTATTAATTTCACGTTTGCTCTTTTCTGCCTAAATGCTACTTCTCCCCTGCCCTTATCAATATTTTCTTCAAGAATCACCTTCCTAAAGAAGTCTTCCCTGGCCTTGTATTTTCTCTGCGGTTCATACAGTCAGATCTATACTTGTACTCAATTATACCTGTTTCAATTCTTTTTTAATCCTGATTTTTAAAAAAAGCAACAGCTGTGTGATTTTACCGCCAGACACAAATTTCTAGTCAGATACTGCTCTATCTTAGTGGCAATGATTTTGGGATCCTCTTTTTTTGTCACATGAAATAACAATCTGTTAATATTAATACATTTGTAATAATAGATTTATCATCTGCCTTCTTTATTTATTCAAAAACATTATTTATATGCTACGCACATTTTTTTTTAATGCCAATATTGAGTTTCTTTGCTTTCTCACTAATGAGGAAACACGGAAGGTGGATATATAATCTGGGCTGTATTTGCTAGTTATTTGAACCTGAAGAGAATACAAAGGTGAATAGAAGAAAAAAAGTATTTTCAACCACAGGACATCAATAGCTGAAGGTGGCCTGCGGAACCTGCCTCTTTTTATAGTCAAAGAAACCCAAGTACATTTAACTCTTAATCAGTTCACACACCTCCCATTTCACCCGATTGCTCCTGAGGAGCTCCGGCCTAGACTTAAGTTAGTTGGCCAAGGTCACACAGCTCTGAGATCATTTAAGTCTGAGTCCATAGTTTTTTCCACAATAGCATCTCTGTTCAAAATCTTCTCTCAATGATAGCCCCAAATTCTAAAAGCAGAAATTATTTAAATAAATGTTTTATGGTTGCACACTTTGGGTAGGGGATGGCAAAAAGTATTACCACAAGCATTTCTTGTGACAGAGAATCATGTCATCTTTACAGCATAACTGTAAATCAGTAATACCTAATTCTTTATTGGGCTTTAGAGCCAGACCACAGTGCTAAATGTGATACACAAGCCATCTCATTATTTTACACCACAAGCCCAGTGTACAGATGAGGAAACAGAGGCTTAGAGAAGTTATTCAAACTGCCTATGGCTGTGCAACTAGTAATTAGAGTCAGGATTCGATCCCTGATTTCATTGTGCCTTACAGTCTGCAAGTCCACATTCTTGACATAACTCTGCCAGCCCTCTAGTATTCAAGTTAGCCTCTCAGTTAGTGAATGTCACACTGCGTGATTTCTGCATCAACACATCACTGATCTAAGTAACAGCCTGTAGCTATGTATATTTCATGTCAAAATACCAGCCCTTTAAATTCATTCCTTAATATTTTACAGTCAATTATATACATATCTACATGTCTCCTCCCGGGCCCATCCCTTTTAATAAAATGCAAAATTTCTGGCTAAAGTGCAATTGCACAGACATGCTATTGGGATGGTAGCAGTTTATTTTGCGAGGCCAAACCTGCCTTGATTTCACATCTTTCAGTACTAAACACTTAAATTAGGAAGGCAGACTGGAATATTCTGGGTTTGACTCCTTACTCCTCCATTTACCAGCTGTACTTTTACTCCTTGAATTTTGATTTCCTCATCTGTAAACCTAGGGTAGGTATTAACCTGCCTTATTTAATCTGAGGATTAAACAGCAAATATAAAGGCCTCATGTAATAGGCAGTTAATCAATATTAGCTCCTCTCCACTTTCACTTCCCCCATAAGCTGTATCCACAGAAGAGAGAAGTAGTTGTTAATGGAAAGACTTGTTCACTCTGTGAAACGATTAAGTGAAAAATCTTTACTTGCTCTGTGCCATGCTTACTTTCCATATGAACATCTGGTTGCAAATCTTCCAGTTCTCCACCTTGACAACACAGATGAAGATATGAAAGTTCACAAAGAACTCTTGGCTTGAAATACACAGTCTTGAAAACACAGAGAGCTTGTCACCTGTAGATACTCAGGTACCTAAGCAACTGCCTTGTTACCAACAGGGACTTACCTCTTCTGTTTGGTTGGGACTCAGGGAGAATTCTGGGCCTTGCTCAGTGCTTTGCGACCCTGGTGCAAGAATTTGTGCCATGGAACTATCACATAAGCTTATTTTCCCAGTTGCCTCCTGCAAAGAAATCAACAGAGGTCCAGAAAAATTCCTGCTCTGCTGCCTTGCAAGTCGCTCTTCCTACACCTACTCATTTTATAAATCGCCTGCTTGCAAAAATGTCCAGAGAAGTCAGATATATTTCGAAAAAAGTTTGTTCATTAGGGGAAAAAAATCACCTTCTTCAGGTTTGTCTTTATTGAAAGACTTAAATTTTCCAGTTTTCTAGTTAATGAGGAGCACAAAAAGATTGTATATTTAAGTAGATTATTATGAGAATTAAAATTAAATGAGATTATATGATAAAAGCCACATTTCAAATAATGGGGAAAAAGATGAATTCACTAAAACTGGGAACAACTATCCAGGCATTTCATGAAGAATATAACTAGATCCTTGTCTCACTCTGAACAAGGAATTCTAATTTGTATCTAATATTTAATGAAAAAGTTATACCACAAAAATTCCTAAAGAAAATATGAGTGACTCTTTTTCTAATATAGTAGTGGGGAAGGACTTTTAATGCATGATGGTAAAGAAAAAGAATGTTAGTATTAACAACATAAAAAATAATGTGCACCACAAAAGACACCACAATCTAAATCAAAAGAGAAATAACAGATTGGGATAACAACTTACAAAGTGTTACTATTCTTAGTATGCTAATTACTCTTATAAATCAATAAAGAAAACATCAAGCCCCACACAGGAAAACAGTTAAATGGCATGAATAAGCCATTCATATGAATGCAAAAGCCAAAAAACGCCTAAAGGGATATTCAACATTCTTAGAATATAAATGCTATTTAAACTACCTGTTAAGTACGGCTAAGATTGAAAATATACAATATCAGCTGGGAACAGGAAAGAGGCATTTGTATGCATTTCAGATAGGAATAAAACAGATGTAGTCTTTCTCAAGGACAGTTTGGTAATATGTGTCACATTTTAAATGGATATATACTTTGATTCAGCACTTCCACTTACTAGGTGAATCAAGGTTAAACAATGGGAAAATGTCATGTACACACAAAAAATTGACCATGTGTGGTAGGAAAAGTATAGAATGTTGTCATCGACCAAACTTGATTGCTCTAGTGATAAGCTACGTGATCCTGCACAAGTTAACTTGGACTCTGAGTCTCAAGCTTATGATTGTTAAACAATGACAGAGTATAAAGTATCTAGCAGTTCTTAACCAAACATTATTTTTTAGTTCCTTGTATGAAAAACGGTAACTGCTGTTAGAAAGGTATGAACCAAGAGCTAAAGGTAAAGCTTGGTTTAAGTAGCTTGGTTTAACTTTAACTAAAAGAAGGTAAGGATCATGAAAAGCCTGGAATGCCAGACTATGAAGTTTGCATTTTATTCAGGAGATAATCAGAATCCATGAAAGACTGCAGATTGTTAATAGTTTTATGAAAAGCTATCAGTTAGTATTGTATAATACGTGTTAGGAAAAATGACTGAAGGCTGTAACCCAATTAGAAGACTACTCCAAAAGTCTAGGGAGCGACAATTGCCTAGAATATGATGATGGCAAAAATAATGAGAAATGGATGTAAAGACTGAGTTGACATCACTTGACCACTGATTGGATAAGAAAGGTAAGAGAAATGAGGTATCTAAGATGACCCTGAAATTTGTCTTAAAATCTGAGAAAATAGTGGTGTCATTAATAGACACTGAGAAATGAGGAAGGAGAGCAAATTTGAAGGAATGTTGGTAAAATGGGTTTGAGATGAAGGAAATAACATCCAAAAAGAGAAATCTATCAGGAAGGTAGAAATGTGGAACAGATTCAAGGGAAAAGTCAAGACAAGAAATGTGATTTGGGAATCACTGGCATAGAGGTGAGTACCAAATGTATGTGGGGGATGGGGGAATTGCTGTGAGAGAAAACAAAGAAGAGAACAGAACATTGGGGGACTATCGACCTACACAGGGATGGGGCAAGAGAAGGAGGTGCAGCAGGGGTCACAGGCAGACGAGACAAGAAAGTGCAGAATTTAGAAAGTCAAAGGAAGATTGTACTTTAAGAAGGATGAGGTAGTCAATAGCACCCAATGCTAGAGATATCAATAAAGATGAGGACTAATAAAAGGGTATAAATTGATGGTTAAGAAGTCCAACGGCATTTAAGTAGAGCCAGGACTAAAATCTTGATTGGAAAAAAGGGGCAATGGCGAGGAGCACCAAGTAAAGACATTTAGCTGTAAATGAAAGGAAGGACAGTAACCGACATGGGAAGCAGGATCAAGAAATTCAATGCCCTAAAGTGCCATACTGAGCCCAGAACAGGACATAAAAATGCAGAAGACAGAGTTCTTGCCATTCATGAAACTGTGTCAGCGTGTACATAAAATTGTAGTAAGTCATTACTTCAGGTCAGAATGCTATTGGAAAACAAAGAGAAAGAGATGGGAGGTTTCTTGGAGGTGGAAGTTGAGATGGGCCTTTGTGGACTGGTGGGCAGTCTACAGGCAGATGAGGAGAGACGGGCTCCCAGGGACACCAAGTAGTTTCTGAAGAGAGTCTGGGCTCTGGGACACTCAGTTTGTTTGGGGGAGAGGCTCCAAGGAAGAGAACTGGTTAGGGAGGGGAAAACAGAATCCTTCGGAGGTGGAGAGAGAAGGAATCTGTCAAAGGCAGAGACCAGAGATGTAGGTATGGGCCCAGCCTGGTGCGAACGATTGGGGAAAAAACTGGCCTGGCAGCGGGAAGAGGGGTAGGAATGGGGAGGGGAGGTGTACGAATCATAATGATGCAGGGATGGTTCAGGAGTAAGGGCAAAGCATCCTGTTCACGTCAGGTATAATGATTTTATAAAGTGAGGGCATTTGCCTTCAATTTTGAGAACCTGGAGAAGATTTAAAAGGTCATAAGAAACAAAAAGACTTACCTCATTAACTTATCTTATACATTATTTTGTCAAAAAGGATTATAAGGAGATTCCCCACCACGACCCTGCCAACTACTCCCCGAAAGAGAAGTGTGTTAGATGCTTTGAAACACTGTGATGAACTTTTTAGGTGCTCCTTCCCTAAGCGATCTTTCAAAACAGAAATTCTTTTCTCTGACTTATTATATATAACCTATCACCCCAGGCCCCCTCCCCACAAATGTGTTCTGCCCAGTATTACCTGAATGATTGTTCCAGAGGACGAAGATGCTCTATCTTCCTCCGTGTCCCTGTCATGCTTCCAGAGTGAAGACCAAGACACAGAAGATGGCTCTGCTTTCTTATCTCCTTTCTAATACAGTAATCAATTGATCAGCAGAGGGAAGTGATGTCCTACCATCATAACCAGCATCCTACTCATCTCTTTTATATAAAACTCAGTTTACCAAGCAGTATGATTATAGCCCTAATTCAGCCTCTCCCCCAATTTTCATCTCTTTGGCTAACTAAATCATACGTCGCCAAATATGGTTGCTCTTCCGGAGCCTAAAATACATTCTTAAAAGTTAGGAATCAGCTTCCATCACATAAAGATCTTTAAAACAGGGTGTTTTTTTTTTTTTTTAAGGAATTTAATCTACTTTGATAAATTTAACCTTAAATGCTGTCTTTAAGATAACAGCCTGATGAATGCGTATTTTCTTTGTTGCCGTCAAAGACACTGGATATTATAAACATACCAGCTCAGAAGAAAGAAAATACAAGTCTCAAATTAGAATCATGTAGATGTGCACTCTTTTTTTGGCCCGTTACCCTGCTATATTCTCACAATTCTGTCTGCCGTGAAGGGGTATGATCAGATTACAAAGTCGTCTGATAGTCAGAGGACAGTAAACCTGTCCTCAGCTCTACCATGTCTTAGTGATATACTGTGAGACAGCAGGTTGTTCTCTGTGACAGCGGAGCTATTTAACAATCTACAAAATGAGCAGAAAACATGTCTGGTGGTGACCTGTGAGGCAGGAAAACTATAAACTGCTATAACTTTCTTCCTACAAGACCCACTGTAACTTTAGTTTTTAAAGTATGAGATAAGAAATTGGTATCAGGAAATACAACGGCAAAGTTCTCATTCAACCAGTTATAATGAAGTAGTAAGACCAGTAGTAGTTGCTAACATCTCTCCGTGACCTTGGCAATGCTGTTTTAGACAAAAAAAGTAATTCGAATATGGAAAAATAAGATTCTAAAAAGCACACCAGGAGTACCAACCAAACAGCATACTCTCAAAACTTCAGAGAAAGTATTCAGAAGTCAGGATACGGCAAAGAACTTCATCTTCTCCCTCACCCCAAAAACAGTGTGTGAATTACATTGGTTGCTCTCTAGGGAGAAGCTGTTCAGATGCACTTAAATGTTAATGACATCAGAGACCTACTTTGGTCACCTTTATATCAGCATTAATTTAAAAAATCTTTACTGTTTCCATTCATTTTAAGATCTTCACATTGCCCTTCTTTTAGAGATTTCGGTTCTAACAAACTTTAAACAAGAAAACCATTTTCCTTACTTCACTCTTCAGAGAGCTCTCTTCCACCTCTTCCCTGACTGCTGGCAAGAAAGGCATGGAGTCTCTTCTGTTCAACTGAAAGGCACAGCACAAAGACACCTGCATCACCAAGATCCCAGTCTGGCTGCGTTATTATATAGCTAAGTTTTTCTTCACTTTATCTGAGATGCCCAGAGTGAAGACCAAGACACACTCATCATCTACCTACATAAGTAGCCCACTGGGTCTGGCAACTCCAGCTTATCCAGCCAATGTCATGATACAGGCAAATCTTATATCCCTTTCATTTACATCTCCCACTGTGGCCCCTTATCAAACAATAAAAGAATGTGATTCATTGATGTAGGTTCAGAGTGGATTTAGAGGTGCTGGGCCCATTTTGGAGTCTGCAGTGGGCTGACTTTAGTAGAAAGGAATTTCATAGGGTGACTCCCACCTACCTGCCTGTGGAATTTCATAAGCAAGTTCTTAAGTAACTCAAGCATAAGAATTCTGGGTTGCGTCCAAAACATACACCCTGAAGATTTATACTCATTCGTGAACAATCTCAGGTGAAGTATTTCTACTTTTAAAATCCTTTAGTATATGCCACAGACACAGATGCCCCAGGTTTCTTTTTTTTCTTTAGGAAAACAACACTACCCATTAAAGCTCCTGTGGAGTATGGGACTGGCATTAACCTAAAGACACACCCACCTTCCACTCAGAAACGTCCCTCTCAGCCACTGCGTCCTCTTCTGACGCTCCAACTGGCAGCATTTCTTTTTCTACTTCATGCTGTTCTTGCTGTAAATGCTGGTGAAGTTTTAATATGGCAGCCTTTAAGTTCACCAGCAGGTCTTCTTTTTTCTGGTTCACACTCATCATCTGCTTTCCAATACCTTCAATTT